TTGATTAGAATAAACAAACTAATGATTAAACCTTGATTATGACACTTATTCGCAACACATATCAAAAAATAATGCTGAAGATTATAGACGATCAGCCGATTTCGACTTATTGCGTCCCCTACGATTGAGTTAATTTTATGCCACTCAACTGACCACTTCGTCCTTTATTCCAATAATACCTCAGGTGAAGGTTCCCACGAGCGTGGGTGGTTCAGTAGTACGCGTATTTTATTGTTTAACACTTGACGTCGGTTAGAGAATAATTAGTATTTCGTTCAGGAGATTAATTTAAGTATCGGTACTTCTGTTCGTTGTAAATGGTTCACCGGTAAGATGCTTGTCAACCATGATGTGTGTTCGTTTCGTGGCCGACGTCAGGAAGGAGGCTAGCTACCCTACGAGGTATATATGAGAACACCATCTCCAGTGACACTTCAAAACTACAGCTTGAAGCCCTGTGCTTCACTCGGAACACAAAGGAATGGGGAAAAACTGTTAAGTAGAGATGGGGTACTTAGATAATAAGTGCAAGAACAGCTGAACGCAATACAACATTTTATCAAATAGTGTTGATCGTTCATCGCCTAACTTTAGCTGAATCAGTGAAGGTAACCACCACCCAATGTAAAGAACTGTAGGTGAGTAATTTCGGGGAGTCGCTTGCCGCTTCAATTTGTAACAAACAGTCTGCTGATTCATGAAGGAAGTGGCACAGATACGAACGAAGTATACAGAAATATTTACACAACAATGCAGTTTGATTTTGTTTCTGAATTACTATTTAGAAAAATGGTTATATCCAGAAATTTTAAGCAAACACCAAGTTAAGAGATAAATTTATCTCAACTCATAGGTTCCAGTACGAAATAATAAAATTAACACAAATCCTTACACAATATTTTGGATCGAAGGGTGAAAATTCAATGTGTACTGTAGTGCACTTTACTGACATTTCAAACATTTACTAAGGTTGATTTAGTTAAAGCTCTAATGAATGCGTTGGATTTTATTCGTCTTATATAGGTCATTACCTAATCCCATAGATAAATCTATTGTATTTTACAGCTCTTCCACTGAGGAACAAAGCCATAAACTAAGATGGAATGTTACACAACACCTATTTGCGATTCCATGCAGTTGAGGTGGGGGAGGGTGAAAGGAGCCTATTGTTTGTGAACGGTTCGACCTCTAGGCCCACCATTTGTTGCAAGTCTCTATCAGAAAACTAGACAGCCTCTGAAAAGTAGAATCCGCTGTGAGAGAGAGATGACGACGAACCAGCGACATAAAGTGTAGCTGAGTTGGTCATTAAGGCAAAACATACACAGCATATAGTCAGGTGATTAAGAGAGGAAATGCTGTAAACACTATTTGCGCTAAAGTTTCGATCAAGACTTTTTCCGCACAACAACAAAAAACAAATTTGATTTTGCTCCTGATTTACTCATGAAAGGTAGAATTCTAAACAAATACCAAGTCATGTGGTAGACTTCTCTCAACTCATAGGTTTCGTTGTGAACAACGAAGGGTAACTAACACACTGTTGTTGGTCGAGCGACGAAATGTTCAGTGTTCTAACATAAATGTTCAATGTAAGCGACAAATATTTTATTCATTCAAAAATCTATAAAACACAAAATAATCGAGCAAAGAACATCTTTTTCGATAAATTCCTTTTCTGGCTCTACAATTATATATATGTGTATTTATATACATAGAATATTCTAGATTAGTAGTCAATAACAATATTGGTGTTTTTTTAAATAATATCGATTTGTTAAGTAAGATCACAATGGAATTACAGTTCATTAAAGATGGTTAAATTATAATAATAATAATAATGTAATAGCAAATAGAATATCAACTGAAATTGGGGAAATTCCACAAAAATTCAAGATCATTCGAACCTAGATGGCCAAAGTAATGATAATGTCTGAACTCACTTCTTTTGGATGCATAGATTAGGCTTGTTAATATGGATTCCCAAAGCCTCAGCAATATTTAGTAGTCAAACTCTTAAGGCAAAATTGAGATTCGTAGGTATGCCGTAAATCTTGTGGATACAGAACACAAGATTGATGTTAACCACGCTTTCAGAGTCATTTACCGCATACCACAGATACTAATTTCGCCTTAAGAGTTCGATTACTGAATATTGCTGAGGCCACTGGGATCCACATTAAGAAGCCTAATTTATGGTTCCAAAAGAAGCTAGTTCAGACATTGTTCCTTACTTTGACCATCTAGGTTTGAATGATCCTCAACTTTTTGTTGGAATGTCCCTAATTTTAATTCTATTCGCTGTTATATCTTTATTATTATTATAATTTAAGCATCTTTAATGAACTGTAATTTCATGGATCTTACTTTACAAATCGATATTATTTAAAAAAAACTAATATTGTTATTGAAGGCTATTCTAGAATATTCTATGTTTATAAACATATATGCATCATTGTAGAGTCAGAAGAGGAATTTATCGAAAACGATATTCTTTGCTTGATTATTTTGTGTTTTATAAATATTTTATTCTTAACATTTTAGTCATGAGAAGTTTTTGATACCTTTGCTTTCCAAGTGCAAATTCAAGTATCACTAGTGCTCGTAATGTTTTCTTGCGGTGTGGGGCTTTTCTAGTTTCACGGCCAACCTTCCCTATTCCCCTGAGTTTACTAGCAACTAGGTGAGGTTTCTGAGTGCGTCGGTCGAGAATCGAACCCTGGACAACGTATGTGGCTGGTGGGTGAGCATTCTCTTCCAGAACGACCGTGCCGTAGATCGACCTAACAAAGTACTGACTAATTTTATGATATTTTAGAAAGAGACTAATGAAATTCATTAAATACTTCAAATTTTATCACGAGTATCTTAACCTCATGCCCAAACTGGTGGGCCCAGCTGATCATCATAACTACTCACTAGAACTTCATCCGGAATTCAGTCACATTAGTGATCACGGTTTCGGTTTTTTGAGGGTTTTATTCACTTCACGTCTGGAATCACGAACTGACCTCAATCGACAGATCTTAGAATTAATGGGTGTGAGGATAAAAACCCGCTAGTGGTCGCTTCATATTCAAGAATTGGCAGAAGTTGAAATTCATGGACTGATACACTTGGATCCGGTTCCAGTGGCCTAATGGTCTACGCGTTAGCTGGCCTTGTAACCAGAAGATTCTAGGTTCTAACAATGGCTGTGGGTGCGTACTGTGAAGAGACCTAACTTGGGATGAAACAACTGTTCAGTACTACGAGGCTTTCCAACAGTCCTCCAACCGGTGTCAGTTCATGATGAAATCCTGAATTTATGAATCATTTGATTTCTTGCCAGTGACTGGATTAGTTAGTTAGCTGAGCTTGTCTTTCAAACTTAGGGTCTTGTGTTCGGGTACGTACTACTGAAAAGCCTTAAACAAGAACGAAACAGCTGTTTAGAACTTTTTAGTTTTCTAACTGAAGTTAATTCGCAATCAAGTTTGAAATCGGTCAAATCCTTGGAAGCCAATACTTGAAGTTGATTACCTATTCTCATATTTTCATTGTAGCTTCTGAAGGGGTCATTTCTATTAGATGATTCGAGGCAGTGGGCATGAAGTCCTGACTAACCTCGATGTCATGATTGTTGATACTCGCCTGTCAATCAGCAAGAAGTGTCTGATATCTTGTAGGAAATCTCATATCCCCTGTGTGGAATGCGAAACCGCGTTACTGCCACCCAATGCTGCCGTAGGAAACGTTAACGTTCAACACTGAGCACTATCAATGCAGGACTACACGATATATAACACAGTGAAACAGTATTATTTACTGGATGACACTTTCGAACAAATCTTATTATTGTTCATAGTCATATCATCAATTATTATCACACGACTTCGAAACTTGAGTTTTATAGTTTTCTTTGTTCTTTCCTATTTGTCGTCGTAGGGGTATTAGAATTTTCCAGATATCTGGGACAGGTGTTGAATCATTCCTATTACAGGTAGTTACAGTTGATTCGATAAACCAAGCTTCTGTTATCAATCTCTCCCTCCACTCTGTGACATTAGATTTTAAAACTGTCATCAGATCCCACTCCATTTCATTGTATGGTTGTGTGTAATTGCATGAATTGAGTGCTACAGCTGAACTATTCTCTCTTATTCGGGTCAACCAATCTAGACTTTGCTAGGTTTTTATGTTCGGCTAGTCTGACTGACCCTGTTCTACTAGTTTGACCTATGTATTTGACCTGACAATCACTGCAGGCAGGGTGTTAGATAAACTAAATTGTTTTGTTTTAAAGGCTCCACAGGATTGATCCTTTAACCGACAAAGCTTGTTTCTAATTGAGTTTGTGGGTTTGAATGCCAGCCATTTTTATTCCTGCCTTGTTAAGAATTCTCCAGAAGGTGGTTTCCGAGGTTCCTTTCTTGTATGGAATTACTACTGATGATTTAGATTCCTCATTGTTGGTGTTGTCTTGCGCATGTTTGACATGGATGTCGTCATTAGTATTATTATTAACACTACTATCATTATTTATTTTACTTTTATTTTTACATTTCCCTACATACTTTCTAACTAATCTATCAGCGTAATCAGTAATTAAGTTTCAAAGCTTCTCTTATATGCAGGAGGCAGATTGATAACAGAAGCTTTGTTTATCGAATCAACTGAGAGGGAATACGTGTAACAGGAATGATTCAACACCTGTCCATCCAGATATCTGGAAAATTCTAATACCCCTATGACGTTGAATAGGAGAGAACAAAGAAAACTATAAAACTCAAGTTTCGAAGTCGTGTGATTATAATTGATGATATGATTATGAACAATATTTAAATTGTGTTCGAAACTGTGTCATTCAGCAAATAATAATACTGTTTCACTCACTGTGTGATATATCTAATAAACACACTAATGTGGAATTACTTACTACCATAGTGCCCAAATTTTACACATATATTAAGAAGGACTTCACGCCATGCATGACATTAGTTAGTTAGTATACTTAGTGTGTGTGTGTGTGTGTGTGTGTAACCAAAGTACACCATCAATTGTTATATCAAACATTTTCGGAACTTCTGAAATTCATAAATTATTTACACTTTCAGAGAAATAAAGTAATAGTATCATTATGCAGAATATACACATATGAGGAAGCAAAATGCATAATAATTATAATAATAACAATAATGACAAACGGGATGGATAAGACACCAAAACGATGCCAAAAGACAAAAGTTGCTTCATATACAAACAGAGAGAAAAGGAAGGAGGAAGTATACACATAGGTATCATGACATATGAACGAGAAAAAGAAAAAGATTATCTCCTAGACTTGACACGATCACGTTGACGTGTTGTTGATGTTTTTCGAGAATTATTACTCAGCCCATAGCCTGTTGTTGAATTCGATGTTAATCCAGCTTGACTATTGTGTTGTTTTGTTGATGAATCATGATGACTGCCTGATGATAAAGATTTCATTGGTGCTTTACGACTACTAACGAGTGGATGAACCTAAAAAAAGAATAAAATACATCAATAAGCATATATGTATATAAATTCACGCGTAACACTGAGATCACTTCTAATATTGGGAGAACAGAAAGAAGGCCGACTATACTACTAGTGTAACAACAGCAACAAGTTGGCAGAAGAAGCATCAAAGATAGGAGGGACTTCAGGTGAACATAGAGAAAACAGAGGTGATGAAGATTCCTGGACAACACCACCAACAGCAACAACAACAACAGACAACAATCAGCATAAATGGAAGGAAACTGAAAGAAACAACCTCCCTCACCTACCTGCCTGTGAAGCATCGTTTCAACTACAGGCGGAACTGACGAGGATATCAAAGCAAGAATCGGAAAGGCAAGACAAGCTTTCACTACTCTCAAGTCTGTGTGGAGGTCAACAACACTCAACATGAAAATAAGAATAAGATCCGGATTTTCAACTCCAATGTGAAGTCAGTCAGTGCTACTATACGGATCAGAGACTTGCAGTGCGCGTCATAAAGAGCATCTCAACCAAACTACAGCCCTTCATTAACAGTTGTCTTCGCTCAATACCACTCAAGATCAGATGGCCGGCCAGGAAAGATCAGCAACAGAGATCTCTGGCAATGAGCGAACCAAACAGGAACCAATTGTGAAACAATTATGCAGAAGGAAATGGAGATGGATTGGCCACCATACTCTGAGGAAACCATTAAGTGACATCACTAGACAAGCCATCGCTCGAGTGGAACCCGAAAGGGAAGTGGCGAGTTGGTCGTCAGTGCAAGGCTGACTTGGAGGTCATGTGAAGAGGAGATGAAAGCATGTGGGCAGACTTGGAGCCAGGTGAAGACTCTAGCAGAGAACCGAACTCAATGGAGACGCACGGCTGAAGCCCTATGTTCCTCTAAGAATTAAAGGATATAATAATAATAACAACAGAAGACAACGACCAGGCAACAGATCGTTTATCTAGGAAATCCACGCATATTTATAGATTTTCATGTTTGCTATTATTAGCGCTATTGTAAGCAAACAAACACAGTCTTCTGATTGGTTGTTTCTCGTTGAATGTTAATCTTTCATCGCTTTGTGGCCATTTCTTTGAAGTTCAGATTATTTATCTGCAAATTGTATACGCCTACGCAAAGTCTGCTGTGATTGGTTGTTGAGTCAGTCAGTCTTTGTTCTTATTTTTCTCATGACCAATATTTGGGACGTAAACATTGACGTAAATAACTGTCTACCAATTTGGCTAACAGCCAGCTCTCACTACAACATTATTTGAACATGTATCAAAAAGCTTTCAATAACCAAACACCTGATAGCCACAAGACCTCGAGTTGGCGTACTGGGAGCATTTAAAATAATCAATAAACAAAACAGCCCCAAGTCTTCTTCGGTTCGCTAAAGTTATACGTTTAAAAGGAGTCCGTCTTGTATTTTAATTACCTGACTTTCCATATCAGACTAAATTTTTGATCATCTTTTGAATTCTACTCAGTGTGTTGCAACACACCACTAACTTTTCACTCAACTTCGTAAACATCAAAATTTTGATCTTCCAATCTTACGGGTTCTAATTATTGTTTTTTGTTGTCCCTGATTACGCATTTATCACTGACTTATCACCATAACTGGTCTGACAGGAATCAATTTAAAATATTAGTCATCTTGTGATTGGATGACCTTGACTGACTGTAAAATTTCGTCTTTTTTTTACCTCGAGATCTCGTTCCAGTCATCAACCAATCAGAATATTTATTTTCCGGTGAAGCTAGTCAAATTGTCTACCAATCAGAGCGAACTATTTTCTACTGCCCTGGGCAGATTTTTATATATGGTCGCAAATATATAAATATGAAGTGTATTCTTCCTCACAACAATTGTATCCTAACAGTCACAGGCCAGTCTTTGTCTGTTGATATTTACATGGCTCAGTGAAGCGGAAGGGTATCACAGACGAATAAGCGTATTTAGCATTTCATTTAGGTAGTCCATTGTCTGTCTGTCTGTATTCGACATAGAACTTTGCACATATGTGCTACCAGTTCAAGTCACCACACCCCATGTACCACACAAACCAAGAGAAGAAAGTAGGAGAAATTCATAACAGAGACAGTAAACAGAGGTGTGAGACAAAGGAATAGTAATAACGGAGAACAAAACAGTTCAATTGGAAATCATAAGTCACAAGGAGTGGATGTATCTGCAACAGCCATTGAGAACGATCATTTTGAGCAATATCACCAATTGTTTCCAACCATTCGTTTTTACTGTCCCGAGGACCCCACCCAAGAAGCCAATCTTCACGTTCCTACGTGGCTGGCTGAATTAAACTAACTGTTATAGATTTCATTGACTGATGAAGCCATGTTTTGATTTGACCGCCGCTAGCTCTTTTCCAGCCTACTCTATATCAGCTAACACTGCCCACTGTCGAGGAAGGCGATGAATAGGCTAGGCATGCGTAACACATGTTCTAACCATCTCAGTCGATGTAATTTCACAGCCTCGTCTATTGATTTCCCCTCCCTCCCTAACACTCGACGCCTAACCTCAATATTGCTCACCTTATTATACCACTTCACACGGGAGATAGAACGCAGGCACCTATGATCAGGGACAGCTAGCCAGCCTTTTCATGTCTTCCACTCTCAATGGCCAGGTCTCACAGCCATAAAGGAACACAGAGCGAACTGGTGAGTAGTACTCACGTCCCTTGGTCGACAGCCAGCCGGATATCACCTCTACTGAACCAGAGACAGCGTAAACTGGCATATGCGAAACTAGCTTTCTGTATCCGTGCTGAGATTCCGTCAGTGATCAACCCGTTGCCACTGACTGATGGTACTTCCCAAATAAGTGAAGCGGTCAACGTGCTCTACCACTTCACTCCCTATTTCTAAAATAGGAGTCAGTGTAGTCCAGTCCTGTAACATTATCTTACATTTGGCAGCAGGAGCGAATCGCATGCCAAACATTCGAAGATTGAAGTTCAGCTAAAGGTGTTCAAAAGACTCTGCTTAGTTTTGTCAGCGTCCTCACCTAGAAGGACTATATCGTCTGCGTATATTCTAAGTCAACGAGATTATTCCCTGGTAGCAAGTCATTCCCTGAGTCGCTGGAGTTAAGGTTAAGTCCATTAGTACATCTATGATGAAACTGAATAGGAATGGGGCAGTCCATTGCACTTTAGTGTTATCACATTCATTTGGTCATATCAACTATCGGTGCGATCATAATCAATTAATGACAGGTCCATAACACGTCCTATCAACAAAATTGTTCATTTTTTACGAGTAACTTGGCACCAGTGTTTCTTAGTGCTATGTAGGACTCATCAGCTCTGAATGTACTTTAAATCTCATTGGGATTCGAACACGACACCTATATTTGTTTCAAATGCCAAAGTGTTATTCACTGACGACACCAGATTGGAGCATGAGACATATCGTCAACACAGAAACCGAACATTCCGCCTCCAACATTAATCTCAATCAAAACGGAGAAAAAGACAAAAATTAACTTCAACAAGTAACTTACTTCATCGGTTGGTGCACCCGGCAAGTGAATTGGAACTGTCGGTACAGAATGAGATGAATCTGTAGACTTTGAATTCTTCGATGCTGCTAGTTCATTTGGACGAGTTGATGAAGAATCACCAGGCTTTTTATTGCCACTACCATTTGGTCGTTCAGAATTCTGTGTACTAACCGACTCTTCACCACCTGACAAATCATCTGGATTATCAACTTCAGGTGAGATGGACAAGTACATGAGAATATCTTCGCATTCTTCATCTTCATCGCTATAATGAAGGCATACAATAGATGATAATCAGTTAAAGTATATATTGGTGTTTAAGTGAATAGCTTTCGTTCATTGTATTGAAGAGATGAATGAATATGAAATGTGAATATGGATTATGAGGAGAAATTAAACACTCGAGGACTGAAGTGCCCTCTTCGCCATGGAAGTGACCATTTAAATATTCATCAACCTTATTCAACAGCTGTACGACGACAGCACATGTCAAGTGGTCTACAACGGAAAACTCAGCGAGGCTTTCGGAGTAAACACAGGAGTCAGACAAGGCTGCTTATTATCACCAATGATATTCCTAATTGTGGTGCACGACTGGATTATGCGTCGTCAGACAGTGGGAAACGAGAAGACAGGGATATCCTCGACCGATGTGAAGAATCTAGAAGACCTGGATTTCGCGCGTGGATGATTTATGTTTGACGTCACACAAAATCGAAGACTTACCAGCGAAAACTGACAAACTGGTCGAAGAAGCAGCAAAGACAGGACTCCAGGTGAACATAGACAACACGGAGGTTATGAAAACAACCAACAAACCAACAACAACAGCAGCAGCAACATCCACCGCCAATCACCATCAACGGGGGAGATTTGAGAGAGGTTACGTCATTCACTTATCTACGGAGCATTGTCTCAACTACAGGAGGAACGAACGGACGAAGATGTGAAATCGAGAATCAGGAAGGCGAGAAACACATTCATCAACCTGAAACCAATCTGGAAATCTTCGTCACTCAGCCTGCATCAACAACAAAATTCGGATTTTCAGTACAAACGTCAAGTCAGTTCTTCTATACGGATCAGAAACTAGGCGGGTCACAAAGAATATTTCTAACAGGTTGCAGGTAGACCTTTATCAACAACTGTCTTCGCTCTATACACTGAAGATCAGATGGCCAGAAAGAACAAGAACCAACAAGAAACTATTGGAACAAACAAAACAAGAACCAATCGTTCAACAAATATGCAGTAGAAAGTGGAGATGGATTGGACACTCACTAAGGAGGCCGCTGGGTGACACCACTCGTAAGGCCCTTGAGTGGAACCCGAAAGCAGCAGCGAGTGGGACGTCCAAGGATGACATGTAGGAGATCATGTGAAGATGAGTTGAAATAGTATGGACTAACGTGGATGCAGGTGAAAAGTACAGCAGAAGACAGAAGCAAGTGGAGACATGCAGTTGAAGCCCTATGTTCCACTAGGAACCCAAGGGAACAATAATAATAATAATTCTCCCCGACCGACAGCTGTGGTTGATGGTGGTGGCGGCGGTTGTCAGACTCATATTGCAATGACCCAACGAGCTATACTGAGTGGAATTAATGTCACTGAAGGTCCCACCATACCGAAAAATTGTCTGGATAGCAGTTAGCATCAGAGTATAAATGGTCGACATTATATTAGGAGTCTATGGGTGAGGTTGTGCTGCTGACGAGTAGGGATGTAACAGCAATAAGACGTTACCGTAAGATGAGGGACATGTGAGCTAGTTATGCTGCTGCTTCTTCACTTTGTAGAGGAGTGGGTTAGAAACGGTTGATGCCGAAAATTGTACATCCTTACTAACCCAGTCGGCAGTGAGATCTTGACACCGATACAACTCTGAAAACCACTTCTGTTTCAAGTACTCTAAGAGGAAATCAACTTCGACAGTCTGGTTAGAAAAGAAGTAATAATCGAAAACACACTCCTATAAGGAACACAATACAAATCCACCAACCGGATTGGTCTTTAAATATTCGCTTATTGAAGAGATAACATTATGACAAGACAACAATCGTTAAGAAAGTCATGAAGAATAAAGCAATAAAAACAGAATCTAAGGCAGGATCGCACATTATAATTCCATTGTAGAATACTTCTAATAGACACTTAAACTTCAGACTATCTCACCAGTTACCGGTAAGAGAAGGCTGAGTTGATTAGCTTAACCAATCGAGTGAGAACTAGAAGTAGCAGATCAAAAAGCCTAAATAATGAAATAAAACACACACACACACATAAGAAGCATTATTGCCAAACAACTATCCTATAAAATTCATTAAGAAGTTCAAAACGCCCACAAATAGAGAGGAGGAAATATCAGTTAAATTACTGTCCATGACATAAGGAAGAAGGAACTTAAAGCATCTACAGTTTTATCATAATAAAACACGTAGTTCAGCGAAGAGTCTCTTTTCGGCGGCGTATTCATTCACACCTAGCTGTACAATCGCAATTATATATACTTAATTTTGTATGTGTGTGCGTACATTAGGTTTGTCCGAAATAAATAAAATTATTTAGGGTTATTGTTGTCACGACATTTCAAAATGTCCATTGTCTGCGGAAGCCTTAAGGACAACAACTCGTATCTGGCCACTTCTTTATGTATAATACAGTTCACCTGTTGCTGTGGAGGCAGCCGGGTACATTGGTAGTTCGATGCGTATCCTGTCCAAAAGGATTCAAGAACACTAACCCGCATGGCTACAAAAAGGTAATAGTGACTGTATAAGGAGTACGATAATCGAACATCTCGTCAACAGTGGTCATCATTCCATTTCAACAAACGCCTCCTTCTTCAAAGTGAAGAACAACCTACCAAAGGCAATACGATGGCTTTCATCTCCTTTGTATTGGTGAGGTCTTAGGCATTATTCAGTTGTAAAAATTAGGCTTATGTACATAAAAGGAAATTATTCAACTGCTTCTACTATCATAATAAAAATTTTGTTGATTTCTACTGATTTGAACTTTGTGTTCTTGTTTTTCTGACCCATTATAACTCTTGCATTTCTTTAGAACTCTGACGTTATTCCATATTGTATTTCGTTTCTGTATGCATCCTGTTCACAATTGACTCATCATATCATTACGTAACTCTGATACACTTATTCAACTTTTTTCTAATACATTGACTAACATTAACAACTATGTTTTCTGACAACTCATCATTACTACCCTCTTACTACTAATCTTCACTCTCTCTAGCTAAAATTTGATAATCAAGTGTTGGTTTATAGGGATATGATCGATTGGTTACAGGATTTCATCATGAGTTGACATTAGTTAGAGAACCATTGGAAACCAGCTGGGAGTACTGGACGGTTGTTTCCTCCGTCCTAGTTTCGGGACTCTTCATCAGTACGCGCCCACCACAGGGGGTTCGAACCCAGGAACTTCTGGTTACAAGGCCAGAGAGCTCGTAGACCATTAAGCCACTGGGACCCAATCCAACGACCCGTCCATGAATTCTAACTTCTGCCAATTCACGACATAGTGCGACCACTAGCCAATGTCTTTGGCGAGTATTTGTCCTCACACCCGACCTGCTGCACTGTACTGGTCACGCTTTTTGAAATATTTTGATGACGTAAACAATAACCCTGACTAATTTTTATTCTTATCGGACAAATCTAATGTACACACACACGCATCCAAATATAAGTATATATAATTGCGATTGTACAGCTAAGTGTGAATGAATTCGTGGCCGAAAAGAGACTCTTCACTGAACTACGTATTTTGTTTATTCATTAATGTCTGGGGATGGGGATTATCCATGAATTTATCATAATAGAAAGGGACATATGAAATCCTTCGTAAAAACAAACTTTGTAAAGCAGGAATTAGAGTGACATTACACGCCTATAAACTCGTTGAGCAACAAGTTCTGTAGGCTAAGGGATACCACTAACCCATACTTAAACGAAATACTTCAATCTACACAATATCTGGCAATGATTATAAAATCAGATACTAGAGGAGAGATGACAGTAAGATTTTCAGAACATAAAAACAATTTCACTAAGCGTAGAAGGAGTGACCCTAGAGGGGAGGGGAATGCCTTAGAGGAGAACTCAGTAATCGTATACAATCAACCAACAGGACGGGATATAGCTACAGTCGGTGAAGGCAGAGGCTGATCAATGAATCATTGTTCATCGAATCTACAACCAAAAAAAGAGGCTTGCAATAAGAATGACATAACGCTAATACCAGAGATGTGTGGGAAAATATTATTACCAATAAAATCAAAGAAAGGTTAAGGGAAAACTTTCGTGATTTTCACCTGGACTTCAAAGGTAACATCGAAGTAGAAATTCTTATATATATATATACCGCTGCACTAACGAACTTGTATGCAGAGCTATTGTTTGTCTGTCTGTTTTCGACATAGAACTTTGCACCGATGTGCAGCTGTTCAAGTCGTCACACATCACTTCATGTACCACACAAAGCAAGAGAAGAAAGTAAAAAAGAAATGCATAATAGAGACAGTAAACAGGGATTTGAGACAAAGGAATAGTAATCACGAAGAACAATATAGTTTCATTGGAAATCATAAGTCACAAGGAGTGGATGCTTCTGCAACAACCATTGACAACGATCACTTTGAGCCATATCACCAATTGTTTCCAGCCTTCATTGGTGTTTACCGTCCAGAGGACCTCAACCAGGAAGTCTACACCTACCTACGTGGCTGGCTTAAACTAACTGTTGTGGATTCCATTGACTGGTGCCATGTTTTGGTTTGACCGCCGCTAGCGCTCTCTTTTTTATCCTGACCCTATGTCAGCTAACATTGCCCGACAGATAGCCGCTACCTTGACATGGTGGTCGGTCTTGCACATCGCGATGACCCAACAAGCTACACTGGCTGGAACCAATGTTCCTGCAGGTCCTATCATGCCAGGAAGGTTGTTAGGATAGCGATTAGACTAAAAGCAGTTATCGACATAGTGTAGGAATTTTTTTCTCTACAATATGCTGGGGGTCTGTGGGCGAAGTCGTACTGCTGGGGAACAAGGATGTAACAACAGTGAGGTGTCTCCCTCAGATGACCAGCATGCCAGCCAGCCATGCTGTCTCTCCACTCCGGAGAGAGGGGGTTAGAAAAGGTCGACCCCAACAATTGTACATCCCAACTTATCCTACAGTAGTCCGTAACCTGCGGTAAGTTTACTAATACGGAACCAATCCTGGAAACCAGTTCATACA